TAAGCTATATAAATAGTTATACTTATTTTGTTTTATAGATAATAAAAATATGCTAAATAATTTGAATAAGATTTATAATTTAATTTTAATATATCTTTTAAAAATTATCAATTAATTACGATATGTGAGGTAGACCATTTCCATTTTTATTCATATTATATGTAATGGTTATTAAAAACATGGTTCGTTCATCGGCTAGCTTATTTGCTAAACATAGCCAAAATGTAAGACACTACAAATTGCTAACAAATATGAAATATGTAAGGACCGATACTTTTGTCACAAAATAATAATGAATAAAGAGGGAGGGATATCTAATTTACTAATGACAATAATGAATAATTCAATGAATTCGATACCGTTAAGATTTGACTTTTATGGAGTATTGATTATGTAGTTATAATGTAACCGAATCCGAAAGGTGATCAGTACAAACTAAATGGAAGTTGGGTATTTAACGAATAATATAGATATTATGTTGTCATATATTTTATAATAATTACAAAACTAGTGCTGAAATAATTATTAAATGAGTTATAGTATTTAGCTGTATAAAAAATCGTCAACTTGTTCAATCCGTCTAATTCTGCTCGTTAAGAGCATCTCCAACAGTTATGCTAAAATAAAGAAACGACGAGAGATAAGGTGGAAATCTCCAAAATTTGAAGAAAATTCTAAATCTTTATAGAAGAAAGAGAAATAATATTTTAATTCATTCCCATCAATTACAGATGTTGAAATTAAATCGTATAGCAAAGATAAATAATATTTTATGAATACAGTTAATGTTCCAATTAATAAAACAGAATAACGGTTAGAGTTTGATGTAATTCTTTTGTTCGTAGAGATTTTCACTTTTCATACTCCGTTTTAAAAAAATATATATAACATAATTGTTGGAGATGCTCTGACAACTCAATGAAACTTAACTCGTCACATCTAACTCAATGAAAAATTATAACATAATAACACTGTTAATGTCATGTAAATACGTATCATACACAAATAAACATGAAAAATCACTTTTTTCACATAAAATATTTTCGAAACTAAAAAGCCCATTATTTGTTTAATATGCATGAAATCATATCTCTTTTCATTAATGGAAAGACATGTGAATTCATACATTACAAGTAGTGATCATAATTACTAACTAACCAAATTAATATATATATATATATATATATATATATATATTTTGACTTGTACTACTACCAATCATGACTTTCTTATTTTGATTGGCATGGCCACTCTTTCATTTATGACCCCGACTTCTCTGTTGTCTGTCACTCAAAATATGTTTATTATATAAGTTGTTTTTTTTATGAATATGTAATAATGTCTTGTCATCTTAAGTGTCATTTACCAAATACTTACCCGGATAACCGTTTGCCAAGTCACATTACTTTATCAGATGAATATGTCAATGATTAAGAATCTTACTCGGTAAAAGCAAAGACAAGAAGCGAGAGTCTTACCCGGTAAATGAGTGCAACGACTCTTACCATGGTTAGAGCTTACCGGGATAAATTGTTGCATACGATGCGTTGTGGTGAATAAAATCTTACCTGGTAAGTAAGCGATGGTGTTGAATTTTACCGGTAAGCGCTTACCGGGTAAATGTTTAGGTAAACGACCCCTAAGTAATAAAAGAATCAATGAGGAGTTTCTAGTAGCTTTATGGTAATTTTATCCCTTCTAAACAGTAAGTCAAATATATACCAATGGATATGTTTACTTAAAAGAAAACCCGTAAAGAACTTAAAGAGATTAAAGTATTTAATCAGATGGGTTTACTTTCTCATTCAGAGTGGCAGCTGCCATAGGATCCTTGGTGCACCCTTTATGGATTTGACTTGCCATATAGACTCGTTGTTCTCTTATTAAGGTAATAAGAGTCACACTATATGACATCTAAAAATTTATTGAACCGGTTTCTTTATTATTATAGATTTCCTTTTAGATGATTGTTCGGGTTTCGACCTCATGGGTGACCTACCTCTTGTTGGGCTAGTCATTAGGCCCTTTTGGGGTTTGGGCTTTCTGTAGCATCCTCATTTTGTAAGAACGAATGATATTGTTTTGCATTTACACTTGCATAGTTGCTCAAAATCATACATTCTTATTCTCACAAGTTACAATGTTTTTATTTATATCTTTGCAAACCATAATGTTTTGAGTTAAGTTGTTTGTCTGAGGGACTGGAGGCCAGTGAGTTTGATGGAGACAAAAAGAGAGGGTTGAATTATTCTTGAGCATTTATGGTATTAGTTCGTTTGAGTTAGCTTAAAGGGGACAAATAAGAAGTCCTCACTTATTCCATATAGCCATTTTGACTTGATGGCTAATTATTTAGGGGTGGTTTGGTTCGTTTTTCATTAAGCCCTGTGTACATTAAGTTGTTTGTATTAAGTTGTCTATATGAGTGAAGATAAATTGTTGTTCGATTATTATACTGAATATATAGTTTGAATGTTTTAAATGACAATTTTAGCCTTCGGTCTTTCTCAAATACCAATTAAAAAAGTTGTTTGTTTAAAATGATAAACTTGAAATCAATCCTCACATATCCTTTTTTACATACTAAAAAAATGCACTATCTTCGTTCACAAATCCCATTTTTACATACCAAAATGATCCCCTCCATACTACACCTGATGGATTCAATTTTCTAAACCCAGTTCAACTTTTGAATCTGTATTGAACCCATCATTGTGCTTCATGACATTCAAAAGATCGATACCAAATTGAAATCCATGCATAAAAAACTTGTACATTGAACAAAACCTAGAAACTTGTACATTGAGCCTATCATCTTTTCAACTTTGTAATTCCAATATTCTTTAGCCCAATCATCTTCTCAATAAACAAAAAAACCCACTAAACCAGAGAATTCAGAGAATTTCAAGAAGGTAAGATATAAAGCAAAATGAATTTCAAAACGGATTTCCAGGAACAAAATCTAGAGTTCTGTCACAAATCCTTTTTAGGTTAAACATAGAACATACGAAACCCAGATTTACAGAGAACAAAGATTTACAAGCTTAATCAGAGCTTTAGATTTAAAAAAAATGTAAAGAACAAAGAAGCAACAACGAGGGAGAGGGATGGGGAGAACGATAACTAGACGTAGGGAAACATATAGGAGGGGAGGTCTACAACGATGGTGTGGAGATGATCGGTGACGATGAGGGTGGCTTGGAGATGATCAACGACGACTAGAAGGTTTTAGGCACGAAGAGATTCTAATGAGCTTCTCTTTTGTGGAGGCTAGTGTTTAACAAGCGCATGTTCGGAATAATTATGGTTGAATGTAATCGACACTTTTATTTTGACTGACCGATTAAGCACTTTGCTGAAGTCTGAAGCATCAAGACATAACCAAACAGTCTTATATGGCTTACCAAATAAGGCATACAACCTACACAACCAATTAAGCTAAAACCGAACAACCCCTATGCCATTAAGAAACATCCTTGTCTTATTGAACAAATAAGCCGCCTAAAACATTAAACTCGTTATGTTGTAAGTAAATACCGATAATTACAATGATCAATTTATAAATAAAAAAAATCAAAATATAATATTTTATTCACAAATAAAAAACGAATAAGTTCGACATATTAACGATGATAGATACATGTGAAATCAATAATCACTCCATATAAAAACATCCCGAAATCAAGACAAAAAATAAAACAGAAAATATAATAATAATAATTCAAAAATCCACACTTAATTTTCTTCTTCGTCTTCTTCGTACTCTTCTTCTTCGACATCATCGGCCACCGCATCTTGATACTGTTGATACTCCGACACCAGATCATTCATGTTGCTCTCCGCCTCCGTGAATTCCATCTCATCCATCCCCTCACTGGTATACCAATGTAAGAAAGCCTTCCTCCTAAACATCACCGTGAACTGTTCGGAAACTCGCCGGAACATCTCCTGAATCGACGTCGAATTCCCCATAAAAGTCGACGACATCGCCAGTCCAGTCGGAGGGATGTCACAGACGCTGGATTTCACATTATTGGGGATCCATTCAACGAAATAGGAGGAGTTTTTGTTTTGTACATTGATCATTTGCTCGTCGACTTCTTTGGTGGACATTTTGCCACGGAACATGGCGGAGGCGGTGAGGTAGCGGCCGTGACGGGGGTCGGCGGCGCACATCATGTTCTTGGCATCCCACATTTGTTGGGTGAGCTCCGGGATGGTGAGGGCACGGTAATGTTGGGATCCACGGGAGGTTAACGGTGCGAATCCGACCATGAAGAAGTGGAGGCGCGGGAATGGGATGAGATTCACGGCGAGCTTACGGAGGTCGGAGTTGAGTTGACCGGGGAACCGGAGACAGCAGGTCACCCCACTCATCGTGGTTGATATCAAGTGGTTTAAGTCTCCAACTGCATTAAGTAGTTGTACATTGTATCAATGGTACAACTCAAATAAGCTACAATTTTGTAACAAACAACTAAATAATGCAAATTAAATATATATTTTTATTTCATTTTGAAAAAAATGTTTGAATCCTTTCTTCCAGAGCTAATATTCTTAGGTACAGAGCAGGATCTCTAGGAAGATTTTAGCTTCATTCACAATTGGTATGTCGTTAATCTTTCCAACAAATCTGTTGAAATATATCAAGTTCATATTATCAGCTGAATTTTGACTATTTTTTCTTGATATATATTTCAATTAATCTAATTAAGGTTTTACATATTTTCATATCTTATTATAATACAAAATAACGTTGAAATTTTGGAAAAACTTACAACTTGGGTTGGTGAGCTTGAGGGTTCGAAAACAGATATCGTACAATGCTTCATTATCAAGTACCATGCATTCGTCGGCATTTTCAACCAATTGATGGACCGAAAGGGTGGCATTATAAGGCTCAACCACCGTGTCTGACACCTTAGGTGACGGGAAAACCGAAAACGTCAACATCATCCGATCGGGATATTCCTCTCGGATCTTTGATATCAATAACGTACCCATCCCCGATCCAGTACCTCCTCCAAGCGAATGACATACTTGGAATCCTGTCCCATGTAAAATAAACATTCAGATTTCACTACTATAGATGAGTTATTGGTACCTTTATTTTCAATTACAGTTACATACCTTGTAAGCAATCACAATTCTCGGCTTCCTTACGGACAACATCTAAAACCGCATCAACTAACTCGGCACCTTCGGTGTAATGACCCTTGGCCCAATTGTTTCCGGCACCATTTTGGCCGAAAATGAAATTATCTGGACGGAAAATTTTGCCGTAAGGTCCGGCACGCAGACTGTCCATCGTGCCGGGCTCCAAGTCGACCAAAACGGCCCTGGGGACGTATCGTCCACCGGTAGCCTCGTTGTAATACACATTGACCCTCTCTAGTTGGACATGGGTGTTTCCGTTGTACTTTCCGGTGGAATCGATCCCGTGTTCATCGCAAACAACCTCCCAAAACTTTGCACCGATCTGGTTTCCACATTGTCCAGCTTGAATATGGAGAATTTCTCTCATTTTTCTTGAAAAATAATATGTTTTTTCAAGAAAAAGAAATTAAATTGAAGAAATTGGTTTGAAAGGAAGAATGGAGATGGGGTTTTTGTAGGATAAGAAAGAAAGGATTTTGATAGGGACTTTGATTTTTTGTTTCTTGAAAATCAATAAATAATAATTATTGAGATAAATTATATTAATAATTGCATGTGAAGTGTTTTTTATTTATTTATTTATTTTATTATTTTGGAATAAATAACAAAATCAGGTCACGATTTTATGAGTTGTACATGTGAGCTAGATGCCAAGATGCATAATGTTTATTCACCTAAATTACCAGATTTACCCCTCGCTCATTATCATTTTCTTTTTCATATTCAAGTTAAAAATGTGAGATTTTTACATCCATTTTAACTTATATTAATAATCGGTAACATCGATTCACATATGTAATTTTAAATACATTTTTTAATGGTTCATATATTACAAGAAAAGTTTAAAAAACCCCAACAAATTATTTGATTTTAATGATTAAGTCCTTAAACTATTTTTTTGAATGATAAAATCTTAAACTTTCTAAAACCGATTAAATACATCATTGTAAACTGTAAAAACATGTTAATGTAATAAAAATTTGGAAGAAGTTCAAATAAACCTAACAAACTATCTGATTTTCAAATGATTAAGTCCATAATTTTTTTAACAAATAAATCCCTACATTTTTCTTATATCTTTTTATCAAATAAATTATTGAAATTTTTTTGAATGAATAAATTCCAATTTTTTTTGAAGAAACAAAATCAAGGACTTAATTTTGAACAACATTAACCTGTTTTTACAGGTTACAAGGATGTATTTAATTGGATTTAGAAACTTTAAGGGTTTTATGATTCAAAAAAAGTAGTTTAAAAACTTAATCATTCAAAATCAGATAGTTTATTGATTGTTTCACTTTTCTTAACCAATCATTTCTTATCTATGGAAACTTTTTACTTAAAACCGGCTCTTATATATATTATTTACAATGATGACTGTAAGTAAATATAAGAGACCGTTTACCCAAATGCTTACCCGGTATACGTTTACCAATAGGAGTCAACACTATAAATTTATTTTGATGCGTAAGATTTTAGTATATCAAAACATATCGAATGCAACAACTTACTAGGTAAACACTTACCGGATAAGACTTTTCATCTTTCTCATTACTTTTACTCAATAAAAAAATCTTGACCCTTTAGAGCACTATTATGAATCAAAAAGCAAATATTGGTTCAATAATTTAGAGCAAGAGGGACAAAAATGTCGGTTTCGTTGGCCTCTATTTCTTATCCATCCTCCATTCATCTTTTTTTTTTCTCACTATAAAAAATCAATTTAATATATTAATACATATTTTATTTTATTAAACCCATATTATAATAACATTATTTTTTATATTTGTCCGGGTCGGTATTAGTGTCGGTTTAAGCCCTCCTTATATTACTTTTGTTAAAATAAAAAATAACAAGTTCGATACAATAAAAAAAAATACAACAGGGTTCGTTTGGTTTACGAGATTTGATAGTATTTTGAGGGGTTTGTAATAAAATTCCGTTTCATTTCTGTATTTAGTTTAAAGGGAATTATAAGAAATGTTTTGAATTCAACAAAATTTCATCAAGATTGGAATAAAACATAGGTAGTCAGTATTTCATGAGATTTATTTGTAAAAATGTTTAAAAATATGTTAAAAACATTTATTTTGTAATAATCAATTAATAAATATAATTTAATTTAATTAATTATAATATATGTCTCATACGATACTATAAATAATGGAATTCAATTCCATTTTGAATTCTACAAACCCAACACATGCAAAATTTCAATCCTTTCAGTTCCAAATATTTTTTGAAAAACCAGATTCCTCAAAAATATTTTGTCACACCAAACGGCCTTAAAAGTTTTTTAATAATACAATTATATTATATTATATTAGAGTTATGTATCTATAGATATAGATTTATGTAAATAATAATAATTTACATTTTGAAGAAAATTATTTGCTTTTGAATTTTGAAATAAATAATCAAAATGTATTTGGATATAATAAAGGGTAAATAGGTGATTTAACAAAAAATAGGTACATAAGGATCCAACCTGTTGTTGTTCAAATAGCGTTTTCAGGTAGTTGTAGGGGGGTGGTTGTCATCAAGAACCAAAGCAATAATCAGGAGGTAAGCTGTCAATTTTCCTTTTATACCCCTCTTCCCATCTTAAATAAAGAATATTAATAATTAACGAAAATCTAAATCTTGAAAATTAATGGTTATAACAACTTGTCTTATAAAATTAATCTAGACTCTAGATTAGAAATGGAATAACGACCGAGTCTATCTCAAGCTTGGTCTTCGTAGATAAAATCACAAATTACATGAAAAAATAACGTACTTTAACTTGATTCCTATTTTAGCTAACGTATTTTCAAAACTTTTATTTTTGGTACCTAAAATGTAAAGTTTTAAATATTTAAGTATCCGGATAACTGTTGAAACATTAACCGGTTATCATGCTTATGTGACGAGTAATGTGATATACAACTCAATATTATTTGCTGACGTGGTTAACGACGTGAATTTTTTTAATCTAAAATTAGTCTTTTTTTTTTTAATCTAAAGTTAGTCTTCAACCGGTTACTCAGGTACTTAAATGTTTGAAACCTTACATCTTAGGTACCAAAATGAAAGTTCTGAAAATACGTTAAAATAAGAATCAAGTTAAAGTACGTTACTTTTTTTATGTAATTTATCATAAACAAAATGAGTATTTATTCCTGATATGATCGATTTTTTTTTTGGCAAAACAGGCCTTATATGACAAATGCGGGTCTAATTATTCTCTAAACATCAAATATCTAAAATCGGAGCCAAATTGTTGTTTTACAAAGTTTAGAGTCCAATTGTAGATTCCAAAAGGTTTGTGATTTGCATAATTAGGGTCTTAGAACTTTAGAAACCTAATGGCAAATTTTAGAAATTTTAAGGGTTAAAATGACAACTTCAATATTTTAGGGATCTTTTTGTAATTTTGCAATTTCAGTAGGTAAAAATCGTAATTTTATTTTTTGAAATTTCATGAAACTTGAATGAAATTAATAGTGGTCGAATTCATAATTTTGAAATTGTAAGGTCGAAACTGAAATTTATGGCCCAGAGGCAGATCCCAATTATACTGCCCCCAAATACATCAAGCGTGACAATGTCGACCCCGCCCTCGAATCCATACTCGAACCCGGGTTCAGAGTAGAACCTAATGTTATTACATATGAGGGAAATTTAGCTTGTGTTTTGTCTTGATTTTCATCGTTTTGTTTACAATAATGTTTAAATTTTAGTTCTATCTACTGATTGATATGAATACAACATTTAATTCTAAGCATGTGTCTCAAGTCTCAGGTTTGTCCTAAGTTGATGTCATACAATCATTGCAGCAAGCTGACAACGGTAGTTGGTTGGAATTCGACGATCTACAGTCGTAATTGGTCTTCTATTTTAACGACTTTAGCATTAAGAACATCTCTAACAACTACTCTATTTTAACAACTCTAACATTAAGAACATCTCCAACAAACGATCTAAAATAGAGAAAATGAGGTTTGCTCAAACAGATTCTTTATATTTTTTTAAATAGAGAAAACTTCAATTTTAAATAATTATCTAAAACTTGACATGTTGAAAGATAAATTAATTTTTTATTCATCTCGTAAACACTTGGAAAACGTCTTTTGATCTAAGGGAATTAATCGTGAACCACAAATGATGGAATCCAATGTATTGTAATAATGATCGATTAATTGCAACTAGTAACCGAAATTTTAAGAAATCTTTTGACAATCGAAAATAAACAAGAAGGAGATGAACTTTGGAACACTAGAATTTGGATTAAACTTTAAAACAAGGACAAGGTAGCAAATTAACTTCAATAATTTTGGTTCTTGTTAAGCAAGAAAGCCGAATGGTAGAAAGCAAAAATAATCAAAAGCTAAATCAAACCCAAATGTTAACTTTGAGTTTTAAGGCTAGCAATAACTCCTATTTATAACAAAGACAAGGCTTAGGAAGGAAGATATATCAACTAGTACAAAAGAGAAGCTTAAACTAGAAGCTAGCCCATAGTCCATGTCCAAAATTTGCAGCAAAAGTCGTCAGCCCAAAAGTAAGGATGTGAACCACTGCACACTCCTATAGGACTGCCATAACACCACTCTAAAAAAGACTTTTGTATGACTGTTACAGGACTGACCAGAAACTTCAAAAATCTGCATAATCAACAAAATAACATAAGATTATGACATAATACTATTATTTTATATAAAACTCAGAAATTACATAAAACGACTAATGGACAAATAAAACAAAGAAAAATGATTAAGAAAATTATGTACTAGGGTTAATAAATTAACACATATTACTTGTATTAATCAAATGTGACGAACACAAAGTAAACCATACATCAACGTTATTAAATAGCACCTCAAAATTCAATTGAACTTAATGCCTACTCATTCGAGTTTCACCTCAAGGCTCACGGTTCACCACTCCAGGTAGCAACTCAAGATTCAATAATCTTAGGGGCTGTTTACCCAAATGCTTACTTGGTAAGTGCTTACTAGTATAAATTAAGATTATCATTTATTTTTATCGATAAGATTGTAGTACATCAAAACAGTATCTTATGAAACAATTTACCCGGTAAGCGCTTACCCAGGTAAGAGTTGTCACCCTCACTTACCGGGTAAGACTCTCCATCATAATCATCGCTCTTACCGGGTAAGATTCTTGGTCTTTGCTATGTTGATCCGGTGAGGAAAATTGTCCGGTAAGCACTTACCGGGTAAGCGTTTAATAAACGGTCCCTTAGTGTCTACTCTTTAGAGTTTCAATTCAAGTTCATGACCTAATGCCTACCTCTCTAGGTAGCATCTCAAGATTCAAGTTCTTAGTACTTACTCGAGTAGGCTAAAGCCTCAAAACAAAGTCCTCGAGTCCGACTCATTTGGGTTCACCTCCGCAATACCACGACGACCACAATGCCTACTCAAGTACTGGCCTAAAGTGGGAACATCAAAACTCCCCACTTACCAAACACAGCCGACTCTTATGCCTATGGATCAAATGCATTATAGTTTGAATTACATTAATTTAAATAAATAACCAATACATTCAAAACATATAATTCCAAATAAATATGCAAAACAAATAATGTCCAAAACTCAACTTTTAGCAATTTAAAACCGAACAATTGTCCTTAAACTCATGTGAGTCAAAATCAAACTAATATCTTATAAGTCAATAATATGTAATTCCCGAACAACTTAGAAAATAAAATACACTAAAAGTGCATTTACATCAAATAATCTCCATTATATATATTACAAATCATCAAAATACCACATTTTATGATTTATTTATCCAAAATCCACAAATATAAGCATTTTCTCAAGATTTATAAGATTTACAAAATCAAATATACTAAAGATGCATTTTCATCAAATAGTTAACAACATTTTATAGATATCAAAGATTCTACTTTTAAGACTCCAAAAATAGGCATTTTTGACATGTACAAAGTTTTCACAGGTCAATTTGACTCGCTTAACTAGGTTAGGTAAAACTAGTTTCCAAACCCATCTTTAGCTTGCATTGGTGAAGACTTGAGATCCTCAGACTAAACTCCAGATCTAATATGCAAAGCTCTCAAGAACACCTCATCTACTCTCAGTCCCCAACAAAATGCCACCAAGAAGAGGAGATTTTAAGGTTGCAAAGTAACCAAATCCTAGGTCAAGAATGGTAATCTAGAAACTTACTTTAACCACAAGCAACTTCAAAATCACCAAAATGTCTTCCACCCCCCCCCCCCCCCCCCCCAAAAAAAATTAACCCAAAGCTCCGAAATTTTCAATATAGAGAGAAAATGGTGAAGGAGAAGTGTTGGGGTGAAGAAATGAGAAAGAAAACCCCAAAATCGATTCTTTTTAAAGCTGAAAGGCCTTAATGCAACTTTTTGTTGCAGCTAAAGTCGCATGGAAAGTCACCCGGATTTTTGACCACTTCTAGCCCGAATTTCTGACTGTTTCTTGATCGTTTTTCCTAATGTTCTCTCAAGCGCTTTCTCGGCCGTCCTCCCTATTGTTTTCCTGGCCTTTCTCAAAAAATTGCGGGTGTTACATACGTCGGGAGTTGGAGATGGTTTGATGGCGTTGGAGATGAGGGGAGAGATGAATAGGTTTTCTTCTTCTATTCTATGCAACATGACATCAACGGGTTGGTGATTAAAAACGACAAAATGTTTAAAAAAATTAATATTAAAATAGAGGAAAAAAGTAAAAAAAGACAAAAGTGCCCTTGAAATTAACAAGAAAATAAACATGACTTAATCCAAAAAAAAATACATACCACAAGGCATTTTATATAATACATAAAGTTTAAAGACCAAATTCATAAAAATCCACATACTACATGGACCAAATTGGCAACTTACTCTTAATTGAATTTTGAACATTGACATGATAAGAATAATAATTAAAAAAATTAGGAGTAATGGATTTGATCCATGTGGTATATTTAAATTTATGAAACTGGTCCTTCAACTTTATTTATTACAGTTGAATATCTAATCAATTGCTGGACGGAACTTCTTTCCATTTTTTTTATTTTCTCGTTAAATCTGAGAACACAACGTAAATCTTGTAATTTTCTGTTAACATAGAGAATATTATAAGGAATACAGTTGAATATCTAACCAATTGCCTGGATTGAACTTCCATCACTTCACAAGCTCAAGCGATTGTGCAACGTGTAATCTGACCAAAAAATTCACAGTTACCCAAACAAAACCAAATCATGTATATCTTGCTCATCCAATGAACAAACCATATTTTGCATAATTTTAATGGTATATAATGCTATTCCGGTTAAACACCATTCACTTACAAATATTATTAACAAATTTATTGTGAAAATAGAATATACTTAGAATATTCAATTCGATGTAAAAGTATTGTCGATAGTTTAAGATCAATTATTATTTGCACAAAATTATGTACTTTTGATGCAAAGAATGATGTCGATGGTTGGAGATGCGTTCATAACTTCATCTAACACCATTTTAATTTTAAAGTTGATGGTCGCCTGATTGGTTTGAGGTTTACTCCAAAGGTCAAAAGTACCAGGAGGTCTCAGGTTCAAATTCAATGAAGAATAAAAATCTACTTATGGCCATGGAGGTTCAAATGCGTTGACTACGGACTATCTGCAAAACAGGTGGTCATCCTAAGATTAATCGGCTCGCATAACAGGTTGGATATCTAAATTAATCAAAAAAAAAAAATTATGTTAAAAATGGTTTTGGTGCAAAATTTCAATCTTTTCTCGTAATCGAAACTACGATATATAGAACAAAATTGAATTCATATTATATTTTTGGGTTGAATTTGGTTGATTATAACTTTGCAGGATCAAATAACCAGATATGGAAAAGACACGCTATAAGTTCATTGGTAGAAAATCAATTCATTGAGATAGATGTGAAATTACTAGATCATCCCTAGTTTTAATTAGAGATGAACAAAAAAGCCTAAATTCGGATCCTGACTAGAAAGCTTAGACGTAGTAAGCCCGAAGTCCGGTGCAGGCCAGGCCTAAAAGACCAATTGGGCCTAGGCAATCGACAATTTGGCTTCTTATAACTTTTATCCGTAACTGTGAGTATCCAAACCAACCACCGTACACACATTTTAACTGATCTTATAAGACCCTAAAGAAAACAAGGCTTCTTGGTACATTTTAGAGTTTGATTCAAACCACAACAAAATAACCAAGTACAGAAACTAAAACAACCTTAAAAAACAAAAATATTTATATACATACATACATACATGACAATACATACATACATACATACACCATGACCACCCTATAAATGGTGATCCAATGCAGACCACCCCCCTTTTCTTTTTTAATTTTCATCAAGATTAGATTAAAACCATCAATTCCTGTACATATTTGAAAGAATTATTACCAGAAATCATGGTCATCCATGGCCACCCTGGAAGAAGGTTGTGCATCATCTTCTTCTGCTTCCAACTCCATTTCTACCTCTGGCTCGGCTCCAAACTCAGAAGATTCAATATCAGCAAGATTCTTCAAATCAACTACCGAAAGCTCATCCAGCCATCTCACCACTAAATCCGCAGCACTAAGCTCGTAAACTGGATGCTTGCTAGCCACAGCCACACACTTCATTTTGGCATCGTGAGCCGCTTCTACGGTCAGATTTGAATTGCCAAACACAATACACCTTTCGGGTATGAACTGCAGGAGCTGAGCTGCGTATGCGAACATCTCAGGATCGGGTTTCCCTCGATAAACGTCCTCTGCGGCTATAACCGCGTCGAAAACGCCGGTTATTCCGATGGCACCAATGGCTTCCTCGAGGTTCTTTCTTGGCCGAGTCGAAACTAAGGCCATTGGGATGTTGTAACGCGTTAAAACGTTCACGAATTCCTGGGAACCGTTGCGAAATCTGTAGATCCCGCCTTGGAGTGCTTGATAAATCTCTTCTTTTCTTGAAGCCATACGCTTCAATTGAAACGGATCTCGCGACCAACATAGAACCTCGGAGATGGCCTGCTCGTTTTTCATGCCTTCGATTCTTCGAAGCAAGAACGCCGGAGGTGGGGATTTTCCTTCTTCTTGAGAAAGTGCGAGCCACGCTTGCTTCTCGAGATCGGGGTTATCTTCGATCAAAACTCCTTCCCATTCAAATATAGCACCTAACCAACCACAACCCATTCGTTCTTGCCGGAGTAACGGGTTTTGTAACGATGGGTTATCAGCCTTGTTCTTTGGTGGCCACAACCCAGATTTTTTATCCAGGTTTGTATCGATTTGGTGATCAGAATTCTTCCGAAATCGATCTTCTTCTCGGAAATTATACACCTCCCTAGTCAACTCCATTGCTTGGGCTTTGATTACACGAACCCTAGGGGATCGATTAGGGTTCACTGCAACATGTTTACCCAAAGAATCCTTCCAATAATGCCCTAAAATCGGTCTATGCCCTAAAAGGGATGTCGCAGAAATTGATTCCACCATTTTCACAAGACTGAAAGTAGAAAGAAAACCCCCAAATCAAACACGACTTTCTTTAGCTCAAACTTGGAATTATGACACCCTCGATATTAGCGGAATCAAGAACCCTAATTTACTGGATTGATTCCCGTGAACGGATGAGTATCGAATTGAAGGAATCTCTTTTGTGGGAAAACTGGATTAATTATACTTGCTGGTAACCAAAGAGGGAAAAGGTAACGAAGATCCAAACTTAATTCAACAACAATCAAAAACCCATAATATACAAATCCCCAAATTCCAAATTAACGCGAAACCCTGATTGATAAATTAACACACCGAACAGCTTAAAACACCTCCGAGTCTATATGAACCGGAAGATTAAACCCCAGAAATCAAACAATATGCACAGAAAAACAAAATCCCAGCTATTCTTTCACGAATTAAAAGGTGCTTAAAAATTGAAGGTAGGGGATATATACAGTATGATTACAGCAGAAAAGAGAGGGTGATGAAAGAACCTGAATTGGAGAGAGGGGAAGATTGAGAAGAAAGATTAACGACTACAGTAATTTGGAAGAAGAAATTTTTATGTGGTTTATAGGAGAAGGGGGAAGGGTTGCGTGCCGCCGGAACCCGTAGTTTTTGGAATGCATACGTGTCGGTGGGTGAACGTCATCCTTTTTTTCTTGAATATTTTCTTTTTTAGTTTTTATTTTATTTTATTCGTCGTATAGAAAAATAAGAAATGGAGTGGTATGTGAACAATAGCTATATTTTTAGATAGTAGCTTCAAAATCAACCAAATAATTGGAAAAAAAAACCTTAAAAATCAACAAAAACCTGAAGAGGTATTTAGAAATCAATAAAAAAATCGAAAAGTGTCTCGAAACTGACCAATTTCTTTTAAAGATCCCATGAAATTAACCAAGAAACTTTAAAGATCCATCGAAACAGTAAAATTCAGTTAAAAATATATTTGTGGACTTTTGGTCTATCTTAAAAGTGTGCCCACTCGTCAAAAATAGTGGGTCTATTACTGGGACCAAATAGAAACTCATATATAAAATTTCTTTCTATAATAAAAATATTTTAGCTGTTTTTGTAACTTGATCATGAGGTTACAGATTTACAGTATTTTAATATTGGATCTAAATATTAATCTATTGATCTAAATATTTGGATAAGGTTTTGTCATTTTTCATATAAAAATATAGTTAAGACAAGATTATTTGTAATCATCGATCCTAAACAGATATAAAAATTTATATTGTTTTCAACACGTTTCATTTAAGTATGTTTGATTCGTTTTCGAAATGAAATAATAGTCAAAGAACGGAAATATTGGGGAATGAATTTCTTTCCCGGCACGCTTGGTATCTAATATCTAGTAATGGTTCATTCATTCATATTAAACGAGATGTTATTAATGATTTTCATTTTCAATTCAGTTTATCTATCATCCACAATCAAACATCCGAAAGAAATAACATATGTACGAGTTATAATACTTCCTTCTCTTCCGGTTAAAATGCACATATATGAAATTTATCTGACCCAAAAAATATTTCCGTTCATGCAAACACATTAAGCTCCTGACATCAATCCATCAAACTGAAAGTTAGAAAATGATTAACATTACAAAAACCCAAATACCGCTTGAGATCATAAATTGGTAGGTAACGAAAAACGTTTGTTTTGTTAGGGTCTATCTTAAATTCTTAATTATTCACATATCGTTTTAGCCCGATGAAAGAAAACTTTTAGTAAGCGTTTAAGTTGATGAAATGATTTTTAGGGATTTAGATTTTGTAGAAAAATTTGGAATCAGAGGGATTTTTTTTAAGGATTTAGACACTTTAGTGTGTATGGTTTTTTTTTGGGTAATAGGGACGGAACCCCGGAAAAATTTATTCAAAAATTAAAAACAGTACAGGCTACGAGGGGCATACCCCAAGATACATAAAAACTAAGTGCCTTCCAAGAAAATGTTTAGGAAGAACACTCAAGAAAGGTCTAGTTCTAGAAACCAAAATAGTACTATCAAGCCAACAAGCCCAAGAGAAAATGCCATCAAGAAAAAAAATGGACAAAGGAGCCCAACACAAGGAATTAGGCTTATCCGACCAGCACCCAACAGCTTCCATATCACTAAAGTCAGTGTGTATGGTTTGTACGGTCTGAAATGGAATTTAATTTAATTCTTTTTAAATAATGATAAAAATAATTAAATTATCTTTTTATTAATTTATGGTTACAAAACAAAAGTTTTTAACATACTTTAAAACATTACTGCATACAAATCCTATAAAATCCCATAAAATACCAACCATTCTTATGGGATTTTGGAGGATTTCAAATCCAGAAAATCCTTCAAACTAAATTTGGAATGAAATTCAATTCAAAATCTCTTCAAACCCAATTCAATCCTACAAACCAAACATTAACTTAGGGGTAGAGCAGTGATGTCTTCTACGAACGATGTTATGCCAACAAATTGGGCATCTATGTGAAATTATGGATCTACCCCTACTACATGTTCAAAACCAAACACAATTAGACCCAAAAAGAAAATGCCAAAATCTGATGATTCTTCTATTTGACCCCCAAACATGCATACAACAAACGTTCTAAAGATCCACCTTTTGCCACGACATGCTTAAACCACGTACTCAAAAGGACAACATACCATAAACAATCTATGAGTAGAAACATAATAGAAACCAAATAAGATGCCCCCCGAAACAAGGGCATAATGGCAAAACCGACTTAAACCCTATACCCTATACCCTAAACATAAATACGTTTGATTTTTTCTTTCTTGCAACTACTATCATAATAACGATCATACCAAAGAAAGAACTATTGTAGATTTTAAAACGGATGTCCCACCTCATAATTCCCAACTTCCCCTGTTACATGGTAGCATTCTATTCTTCTATTTCGATCTAGTTGCTGCAAGTAAGAAAAAGATGCAAAGATTTACCTATAGTTTTTGTTTCAGTTTGTTAGCTAGACTATGGAGTTTGAACATCTAGATATGGATATACCTGAGAGAGAGAGAGAGAGAGAGAGAGAGAGAGAGAGAGAGAAGGATTCGAACATCAAAACTAGTCCACATGATCAGCTGTTGGTGGTGGTGGATTCTCTTGCTCTTCAGGCCTAGACTTGTTGAAGGATTTCTGTTTTTCCAGAAGTGTACCATGATGTGGCTCGGCTGCCTTTTTAAGGGACTCATTGGTGGCATGGTCACGAGGACTCACCAACTTCTTTTCAACGTCTTCGAACTTGGCGGTGGCCCATGGTGCACTGCCTACGGTCTTTGCAGAGTTGGGCCCGTCTATTGTAAGCATTGATGCTTCATCCCTAGAAGCATACCACATGTTACCACATGCAGTACACTCAAGCTGCAAGCACGGACACAAGGAAACAATGAACATGAGTAGTGAGACTTGGAATTTATAGTTTGATTTCGGTCCAACTTGAAATGGGAAATCACATCAGTAAAGCATTCGTAATTGCAGATGTGTTTCTCTATTGTCATGTTAGTTTTGCACTATTAGCATGAACATGTCTTTCTCCTTAAGAAAGGGAGCTGGCGAGGTACAGGATGGGGGTGGGGGTAGGGTACTAGGGCTAGGGAGCTGGCAGATAGGCTACGAGAGTCCTAAGATAGATTTGAGGTTGTGTAGCTATGTTTCCTTGTACATGCCTTGATTTTTGTGGAGTTGTTTGCTTTTAACTAGCCTTAGGTCTTCTTTTCAAATTTCGATGTCACAAGGTCATCTCTTCCGAATTCCTTTCTTTTTCTCAAAATTCTTTATGTTTCGGCAAGCTTTCTCTCTCTCACTTTTCACAAGTTGGGGGTCTTCAAAAAACAGATAAAGATCAGGTATGCATACATCTCTCAACCCCTATATTGTAGCTACCACTCTTTCCTTAGGTGAACCGGTGTCGGTGTGCGCTCAATGGGGAGAGAGGGCGTGCACACACTCTATTTCCACGGTCCATAATAAGTAAAAGTGGCAAGTAGGGTCGGAATTTAACACTTATATAAACTAAGTTCATGGATGAAACTACTTTTAGGAGATGAAGAGCAAGAACCTGGTATCGATCTGCATGTCCAGCTGAGATGATCTCTATCAAACGCACTTTCTTCTCCGTGCATCTTTTACAGCGAGCATCTGTCATCTGTCACATACGCAAACATAAGCTGACCAAATACTCGCTTTATACAAAATAATACAACAAAATCTGAAAGAAATGAACAGAATATGCTACCTGCACCTGGGCATCCTCTTCAGGCTCTTTGCTTGCTATCTCCTCTGCTGTTAAACCCTCCTAAATGTAGAGTAAACAAAAAACCAAAGTAAAAATGTATCCCTACTTCGAAGTTCTAGAAAAGCGTACAAAGAAAGTAGAGAGAGATAAACATCAGTTATAAAGAATAGATACTTCATGAACCAGCATGCCATACACATAGTGACATTGCCAGTTGAAAGATCACCTTGACCAACTATGAGCTACAAATTTCTAAAAGTTTGGACAAAGATAATACAATATAAGAATCTTCAGTTTCCAGATACTTTGATATTAGCAATTTGGTGCTTATCAAAAGAAGGTAAAAGAAACACAGATACAGTGCATTGATTGAATGATTTATCCCACTTTCTGTAGCTTCAAAAGTATTGCAGATGAATAAAATGTGCATACCAGATTTAGGCAAGCAACATCATTTTTAAAAATCCACCATGAGAACACCCAAGGGATGCCATAACAACTATGTTACCAAGTGTTCCTCTATTTTTGTTTTTCTGTTCATGATATACCCTGGAAGTATGCTAGAAAAGGAGTAAAGGGGTAGGAAGGGTAGTTGTTTTAATAGGATGAAATAGCGATAATCAACAGGGTAAGGGCAATATTGGAGTAGTGAGCATTCTGTTACAAAGGATAAAATGGGGAAAGTAGCTTTTAGAGTTTGTTAAATAGGTCAGAGGAGGATGAGGAAGGATATCTGATTTGTAAACCCTGATTTTTGGGCGTGAGTCCTGAGAGAGATTCTGGCCTCTCTAAAGCCGGAAAACCCTTGTAAGCATTTGGTTATTGAGAATCATTTGGTTCCCTTTGAATTCAATTTCTTTGATTTTTCCCGTTGCACATCAGTTTCTTCAGATGGGGAGGAGGGAGGGGGAGATTCCAATTGTTTTTCCTCAACAAAATAGGAAGATTTTAAAAACCCATACCTTCAACTCATTCGGTGACATGTTCAATATTTTTGAAGGTTCCAATTCTCCCTTTAGGAGGCGGCGGGCCAATTGTGCATTTTTCTGCAAAGAACATACACCCATAAGATAGCGGAGGAAAAAGAAAATAGAAAGATCTTCAAACATACAATGAGAAAAGAACCATTTTCTATATACAGAAACTAGAAGATGAATGCTTAAATCAGGGTAGAGAAAAGAACTATTTTCTTTATACAGAAACAGTTCACAACGTCCTTGACTCATCTATCATATACTTGTTAAAAACATTATAGATGCCTGTTCTCCTAATAAAAATGTGTATACCTGAGAAATACAATAAATCATACGTCTATGCTTCATTGAACCTTCAAGACGCAGATAAACTTTTGCAATAGTGAACAGCTAACATGGAAATTAAAAGGATTTGGTCTCCAAGTGCAAACCTCAACTTAAATAGGACCAATGAATATACACATCAGTGGTGCAAAATGCATACTCAAAGACGGAAGTAGCAGGTTCGTGAAAATTAACAGGCCCATTTTCCTTTTTCGCATTTATATAAAGGAACCAAGAAGCACACAAACTCCATACCAGATAGAGCTGTTAGACTTTGTGTGGAACAGAAGTAATGCTAAATTCAGAGACAAATTATGTTTAACTTAGTTAACTTCAAAAGGATGGCCCTTATATCGATGAAATGAATTATCGTGTTTAACAGAACAAAAAAGCAAATGAGAACATGTGTATAACAAACTGGAAGTAGAAAAGGCAACATAACATGGAGAAGAAACTTCTAGTACTTGCAACCCAACAAACTCAACCAACAAGTATGACAATCTTTCATCAAGTAGACTTTGTCTAGATGCCATTACAAAGATGCTAATGAAAAGAGTGAAGGAAGAATGAAAAGACAAACCTTAAGATTAAAGCATAGCTGTCGCATCTTCTGGTTATATTTTTGATAATCTGAAGAAAGAGACTCGTGTGAGGCTTTCTCAAGTGCAGCTACGGCATGAACAGCATCATCAGGCCACAGAGGAGATGATCCCATTCCAGTCTGAGATATATACTAACAACTTCAGGACACTTCGAAAATTTTCACAGCCAATAGTATCTTAAATGGTTGTACTAAACAGGGCAGTATACATGTAATGCAAAATCGCAAATGCCGCCTTCAAGAAATTAGAAGAGATACAATTCAAGTTTTAAAACACATCAACTATTTGAGAACCATAAAATACCGAAAAGTAATTTACTGAACGTTGTTCCCAACTAAGTGATTGCTTTCCACCTCCCACCGGCAGTTGTCACTATTCACAAGTGACCTGTTCTGTGAGAGGCAAAATCATTGCAGGAAAAGCATTTTATCAACCTAAAGACTTTCACATTATGTAGCTCTCTTATTACACCTAAAGACTATATTATGCTCCTAAATATCTCTAAAAATGGTAGTCCTATGATAAACTTATGTAGTTCATCTTTCCTGGGTTGGAATCCAAGCGCTACCAAAGCCCTTGGCCTAGTGGCCATGGAGGTTCACGTGCGATGACTCCAGGCCAATCGTGGTCTCCCGGAGGATTGGTCTGTGCGCATAAGCTGGCCTGGATACCCACGGTTACACCAAAAAAAAATAGTAAAAGTCTTCAACAGGTGAAACCTATATCAGTATAGAAAAGTCCATCCTTCAAAAACTGGCCTTTCATCCCAAACTGATCAGTCTAAGCAAGAATGAAAAACATAAGAAAATTTAATCCTTGAATGGTTTTGCAAATACGACTCTCTTATAGTATTAGAGATACTCGAGCTCCATGCTTACCTTTGGGCTCTTGTCTTCAGTCCCATTTGGAGGATTATTGTCAGCACCATCATTTTCCTTTGCACCACTCTGACTGCCATCCACATTATTGCATACGAATTGTACTCCTTCTAGAAGTTTCTCTAACCATCTATCACGATGCTGATCACTGGTTACAGCATCGAACTTGGCCAGAATATTATAGTATTCTGAAGGATTACTGGTACAACTTCCTGGTGTTTCTGACCTTGATAATGGCCCCGACCTGTTCGTTGCTTCATCATCTCTGGTAACATCTAGCGGTGACATATTCTTTCTCCTCAGCATCCTTTTAGTTTTTAATTGATCTTCTGCATCAGCTGTATCCTCATCAATCTTAATATCAGGAAGGTCCCCCAAACGTGACATTGTTTTCTGAACAAGCAGATCAATTTCATGCTGCATGCTGTCTTCATAATCTTTGTCTGTCAACTTGAAGAGCCTTTTAAAGATAGTGTCGTAGACCTTCTGTACTATAAAACCGGGATGCACTTTACGACTAGGGATCTGCTTGTTTGCAGGAATAAAGTGCACCACACACTTGTGCATCACTGACTCAGCTGGGACCTCATCCCTGTGGAAACTATAGAACAGTTCCCTCGTATCACTTGATTGCCAATTTCCACCATTTTTCTTTTCTGCCTCTTCAGGTCGATAAAACCACTGTCCAGTCACCATCACGCTCCCATCTTTCGTCTCAGTAATATCCTATGCACAGATGGAAATTTCAGCTCCAAAACAGATAAGAGACTATATAGCAAGAATAAGAACAATAAGAGATTAAAAACATTGTATCATAGGTCAAATGAATATATATAGAGAGAGAGAGATATAGAAGCAAATCCAACTTCCCCAAGGTGGAGGGCAAAAGAAAACAAAAGAGAAATGAAAAGAATACACATACAGACTTGATAACAAATAAAGTTCATCACAATGTTCTCAAAAAGCATCTTCAAATCCAATGTCCAAAAAAAAATTCTATGTAATACTCCATCAGTAGTTGCATAAGATAACACCACGAAGCATACTGATGTACAATCTGAGGAAACATTATAAGGCAAGTTACATGCACTTGTTAGTTCATTAGCAATTTAGCATATATGCTTCTGAAGATGAAAGTTACATAAAATGTTAATTTCACTTCCATTCACATAGAGACGAAAAGCCTGTTTATTTAGCAATACGTAAATGGAAGTAAAATTGTTGCCGATCTTAAAGTCAATTCTAGTCAACTAATTAGAAATACAGAAACAAAAGCCAAAAGAGAAAAGGAGGAAATATTACAATAGCCATTGAGAGGTCAAGGAGAGGTGATTACACATTGAAGACTCTATTTTCAATATGATGCTATTAAGCAGCATATTCTGACCAGGAACACTTGAGAATAAAATTTCCAGGTAAGTCTTGATTCAGAAAAAGAAATACAAATTATAATACCTTGATTATAGCCACATATGGCTTCTTGTTTGGTCCTTCAGGATCAGGAACTAAGAGCACAGGATCCTCCTGAAATCGACAAAGACAGAATAGAGTTATTTGAGCATATTTCACCTCCAGGTTTTAACACGATAACATTTAAGTTTTCTTTTATTTTTAATAATAAGAAGGTACTAGGTATGCTACTTGTAACTTGTAAATCCATCTACACTATTTAAGTAAGAATGTACATGCTAATTTGCATGGCATTACAGCTTACAAGTGTATCCACTATAAATAACTAACATAGCCCATTGTGAACCCAGGACATGTATCGAATATGCCAAACCCTCACGAATCACAGTTTGAAACCTTATTCCTTGTATCCTCCTATGTAGGTGGGATAGGATTAGGGTTCACAAAATGTGGACCACGGGGCCATGAGGTCCCCGCCAATAAACCTTTTTTTTTTAGGTGGGATAGGATGCATGGTTAACATCATGCCACGACAAGCCACTGCAGTGGCCAACAGCCAGGCAGCCATGGTGACACCACGACTGCTATGTCATCCATACCACAATAAGTCATTCACTAACTGCCATTAAACACAAAATATAAAACCTTTTAACCATCAACTATAAAATGTTTGATATTAAATACCACTAAAAATGCCACATTCAACAAATTAGAACATAATAAATGTGAAGTCTACTTTTAGAATTAAAACACATGATACATGAACTATAATACTTAAAGCCTAGAATTTAAACATTATAACACACACATGGCAGATAATGACTATCAAGGTTTCATACCTGGAATCTTACTTATTTTCACAATATATTTAGGGATAAATTTACAAAATTAAAGCAATGTTGCCTTAATGACTTGCACACCATGCATAGAAAATGTACACTGCCTTTGGATTAGGTATGTTTAGCTTTGGAAAATAAAATAAATAAAATGTAACAGAGAAAACCCGCTTATATTACCATACTAAATAAATAAAAAAGACAAAAAAACAAAGAACTGCGTACTGAAGGGAAAAAAAACTGGAGTTGCATTGCGTGACTGACAAAAGTGTAAAGATGCTCTTTGGATGATGAGGGAAAACGGTATTCCCCTTTGCGATGTGACTGTTGAATTTCCTAAGCTTCTCTCTGGTACACATGTTAGAAATATGGGGCTTTTAGGGTATAGATAGCCATGAAAGTACTTGGATAGCATATTAGATCGTGAATAATCACTGTCCGTAAGTAATACGTCGAGCCTATTGCAGCCTCTGAGTATCACGAAATTTACTTTGGGATAATCCAAATACGCATTTAAGACTGGAAAGCAAAATCGAGAGCAAAAACACGGATATTCTATATGTTAAAATGATATCGTATACTCCTTAAATAGGTAGTTATTTAAGAGTGAAAACACGGATGTTAAAGTGTWTTCTATATGTTAAAATGATATCGTATACTCCTTAAATAGGTAGTTATTTAAAAGTTAGTTTCGAGTGGTTAGGCAGTTATTTGTAGATAGATCAGTTATCAGATAACTACCTACTGATAAGATCAAACGGTAACTGCACCAAAATTCAGAAAGCGATTTGCCTTCCGAATTCTGTCCAGCACAATTAGAAGTGAAAGTTCAGAAGGCTTCTCACTTTCTGAGTGAAATTCAGAAAGCAACCTTCTTTCTGGAAAGGACTTGGTGCATACCATTAGAGGACGGGGAGCGGGACCACCACCAAGGGGCAGCCGAGGGCGATGCCCCTCAAACCCCGCAAGGGGGTGCGGCCCCTTGGCCGCTTGCTTTATGGCAATCTTAGGTCCATGACAACTTATATGAGCGTGCACTCTGCACTTCTTATTATAGCTTAACCAATGAAACCCCATAGATCTCAAGTAAATCACAACTACATTAAAATGTTTGATGACACTAAAATCACAAACAGATACTCTTATAATTTGTCTCAATAGATCCTCTCTATGGTACACAATTGATTAAGACCTTGCATTGGATTTTGAAATTGATTTAGGCAAGTGGAATTTTGTTTATGCATTTAATTCTTTTATTGGAACGGATTTGGGCTTACTGTGAAATCATGAAATACCTTTGGCTTGAATCAGAGACAGAATTGCTAACTGCTAAGAGCTACAAAGTGACTGCCATTAAACCCACGTCGTGTTGGGGGAACGCCATGTCAATGCATCACCGGGAGGACACCAAACAATGCCATAACTACTGCGCTGAGATGTTGTTGCTTAAGTTTGATTAGTTACTTGGATACATTCATAAACTAAATATTCTTTAATACGACCACCTTATGATTTAATTCAGCATTCCATATTTAGCATAGAATCATGTCTAAAAGAGGTTGCAAGAGAATCAGCTAATGCAGCCTTACACAAAATTTATAGCAAAAATCCAAGATAAATCAATATGAACAAAAAAAAAAATCATATGCATACATCAACAAGAAGCCTTATAACCCAACGTCGATGGGGTGTGATAAAAATCAACATACAAATTGTAATGTGGTGAAACTCAATAGACAACATAACTCCCAATGGTTCTCTCACATGATAGAACCCTTCTAATTACTTGTATCCTTCGGTTAACACACTCATCGAACTCCCCATCCGTGTAAAAATGATATCAAACAATAAAAATATCATTAATATTCATACTACCACGTGTTCATACATGCTTATCACACATATCACACCTCCGGTTTAGGTTGCTCCCATTTCACTCGCCGCTACTACAGGAATCGCTTTTGCATTCTATGTCATCATTGCTAAAGCTGCATATCATGTACTCTATTTTATTTTGGCTTAATGTAAAACCTTCGCATTCGAAGGTGTTTCCCAGTACGTCCTACTTTACTTTAATATACTGCGTTGCCCTATCAATCAAGGCAATATTGTCGGCAACCATACTACACGGGATATTAATTTTGAATATCCTCTACATGATCATGTATATCCTCCATAAGCCAAACCCGTTACTACAGAGAAAAAAAAAATCATGACCTAAAATGATTTTCTGACACTTTTTTAATCTTACCCCTTAACCTTAAGGTTAATATTCCCCTCTAATGGTTTTGTTGAATGGCTGAGAAGCTTGTTTCCTCCATATTTCTTACATTCTAAAACATACAACCTATACTTGATCATAACCCAGGTACCCTCTCCATTCATCAGGCATTGTCAGTCAGGCAGAGTTCTTAATACCTCAACTCAAACAATTGATTCATAATGCAGGGGTTCAATATCAAATAAAACTATAAAAATCTATTTTGAACAATTGAACAAATAATATATCAGAATATTTAGCTATCAACTGAGGTTACAAAAATTAACTAGCTCATAAGTAAAGCCAATCCCTAGAACTCCTCCCTCTCAAACTCGAATCATATATTTCATAATCAACAAGTTCCACGATCTTTTAAGTGACAGATAACACTGCAAAAGCTCAATTTGTAGGCAGGCCGACCCTAATCTTTGACCCCCGCCCCTCTTCGCTTCTCAACAATTGCTTCGTAATTTAGAAGTCTGGCAATCTAACATATGCAGGAGAACATGTAGAATGCTAAACCACTTAACAAGAAAGAAATACTAGGATTGTTACTAAAAGGCGACTCACAAGCTCGTAAGAAAGGCCATCAAATTCGAAAGACTTGTAATGATTCCTCCTCGATTTCCCCTTGCCTGAAACCCTAACCACCTCGCCAATTGGCTTCGCGTCTTCCACAACTGCTTCTTCTTCCTCCTCGTCATCTAACGGCGGTGGCAGAGGCGGCGGGGAAACTTCTTTCTCTTCCTGTTCATCGTCCTTGGGTTTTCTCTTGTCTCTTTTTGTTTTAGTTACTTGTTTAATTGCTTCTTCTTCTTCTTCTTCGTCGTCGTCGTCGTCATAAATCTTCATCCTCTTTCTCTTCCGCTGACTAGACCTCATTTGCTCGGGTTCTTTGGGTGATGGCTGCGGTGGCGCGTCGTCTTCCTCGTCGTCGCTGGAGGCTAAATACCTCCTGTTGCGCATTTTTGTCATTGCGAATGTTGTGGGTCTACGAGGGGGCGTGGGAGGTTTATACGACTGCCAAATGTGCCATTTTTACTTGTTCACACGCAAAAACAAAATGATACCAACTTATATGACCGCCTTTAAATTAAATTTAATTTAAGTTAAAATACATTTTTCATCTACATTTATTTATTATTTTTTTATTTTAATTAACCTGGATATCCAACCCGCTATGTGAGCCGACTAATCTCAGGACGACCACCTGCTTTGCAGATAGCCCGGAATTACCGCATTTGAACCTTCGTGGCCACAAAGGGATTTTTATTTCTCCTTGGATTTGAACCTGAGACATTGGTACTTTTGACCTTTGGAGTCAAGCTCAAACCAATCATCTACATTTTGTCCCTACATTTATTTAAGATACGTTTTGATATACTATAATTTTACTCGATAAAATAAATTATAGTGTTGACTCTTAACGGTAAGCACTTACCGGTAAGCATTTAGTTAAACAGCCCCTAAGTTTCATTTGCATGAGACTCCTCTTGAGTGATGACTTACACATGAGATGTATGTAGAAAGGGGAGTTGAATACAAACACAACATTTCACTTTTTAATTATATGTTCTATATTTTGTATAAACAAAAAATTACAAATTTGTTGTGGAAGCTAAAAAGGTAAAACATACGATCCTAAACAATCTAACTATGGCAATTTGCTAACACTGAAATAGTAGGGGAATGAGGTACTTTTTCATATCCAAAGGACCAAAGAAGTTCTTCAGATGTTGATGTTGATTTTGCCTAAGAAACAATCACAAAGAAGTTCTTTCAAAACGGGTGAATTAAAATGAATGACAAGAGTGACATTTTATAGCCAACATTGCACTAATAAAGGCACGTCTTCATTTGATTTGTTGATTCATGCATGCTAGTACTCTTCACTTCAGCCTTTGAGGTTGATGAAAACACTTGTTAACCTATCTCATGTTTCTGTATGTCGAGGGAACAATAAAGAAAGTGTGAAACTAATAAAATAGTACTTTTGAACTTATTTTGACTGACATGTTATGCATGTTCTCATTCCAATATGGGGGTTACAGAGTTGGTGAATTAAACTTGTTGGACAAGTTTTTACTCCAAAATCCGGCTTCCCAGTAGTCGTATTTGTCAAACTACTAGTTGACTTTATATTGTATTGATCTTCTTTTTGGCTAGATGACAAACCAACCGCTTTGGTGACGTCTTATCATCACTTCAACTAGTCTTTGATTTTGGTGAAGACATGTTGTTCTTGGATCAATACAGATAGTTACAAGATTTTTACAAGTAAAAATCCTATCATTTTCTATTCTGAAATATAAGCTATAGATCGGATTTTCAGCTATAAGAATATTATGAATGTTCTTCATCGGATACCAACAGACTTGGTACAAATTGTGGATATTTGAATCTTTCAAGTATTAAGACTCCAATGAGAAAGTTCATCAGAATTTTTTTAATCGGATGGTAAACACTTAAAGATAGAAAAGTTGGCTTCACAATTCATACACGAGGATCCAATGAGTTACATACAAGACCTAAGGCTTGAGGTTTAGATGTTACTATATTGGTTTTGAAACTATATTCGATGGATGATTGAAATCAACAACTCCTGTATGAGACAAGGTCCTACTACATTAAGCCAAGTTCCAACATAACCTTGTTTAAATTTTTAGTTTCTTACATCATATATACATCATCATTACTATCTTATGACTACATTAGTAAACAATATTGTACAAGTCTTGAAACAAATAGGATGAGGCTAAGAAGCGACCTTCAACCATAATGGGCATAACAAAGTCGATATGATAAAAAAAACATGCTCAAAAGGCAGACCATCAAAGGTATAATAGAGATTGAAAAAGATATGAAAATTACATTTTAAAAAAAAACTTGGAAGCAAGCTTGGAATCAACCTTCACAATGAGGTAAATTTTGGTAACAACCACCAACAACTTTGATCGTGTTTTTAATTTATTCTAAAAATTCTTTATTTATCGTATTAAATCTTGAAATTATGGTTTGATCTCCAACTACAACAAACGAGTTCAAAAACCTTCTTGTACCTTTTTGCTCAAGTCAAATCTACTAAATTGCATAAACTTGATCAATATCCCACATAATGGATATGATATAACTCACTTTCGTGTACAAAAATTTGGTTATTTATTGATAGATCAAAATCGACCCGATAATGCATTGAATGGAAGAAATACGAATGTTTAAAAGTTGGAAAGTTTAATGGACCGATTTTAACTTTTTTGAGTAGTATAAAAAGTACAATCAAACAGATATTAAATTGCACATCTATAAAATTTGAAAGCGTACACTCTGACACAAAATCAATATAAGATGTTACTTGTTTTTCATTGATGGGCCGCTCTCATTATGGAGGTGAATTAGAGAGAAGTCACTTTCTGCGCTTGTTATTTTGAACAACAAGTTTAGCAAACTCATGAACGCCGTGTAATAATCGTGTTAGAGTTTCATATCAGCTAGACTTTGATCATATCTCCTTTATATATGTTGGAACATCCCTTATCTTTTCAATGGCTCTTTTATAGAGTAAATACAAGGGTTCCACATAGCATTCGTTGGAGGGGGCATCTCACATCCGCTAGACTGACCATATCTACTCTATATATGTTTTTTTTAAGTATATAATGTTTATACATGATAAATAGAACAAAATAAACTCACACATCCTCCTCACCTTTGGTGAGGTCTGAAACCCTAACTTATTAGGAGGTCAAAAACTCACATACCGCTAAGCCAAAGTCTCTTTGGTTACTCTATATATATTGAAACCTTCTTTTTTACTCAAATATTTTTTTAAAGAATAAATCTCGAGATTACGTACATTCTCACAAATCTAATAATCACATCAACAATATCTGTAACAATAAAATTGAATATTTCCATTAATGTTTGTTAGATCAAAGGTTAATTCTATTATTTAAAATATTATTAATAAAAAGATATTACATTTATTTTATTATCATGAAGTTCTTTTATGTGAGACAAAAACTTTTTACAAAATAAAAAATACGAACAGTTTTTTGGTAATAAAAATTAAAAAAAGGGTGGCTAAACGTAATTTTATAATTAGTTATTTAATCTACGTTATATTTCTTTTTTATCATTTTATATTTTTATCATATTAACATAAATAATCGTATATTAACTAAAATACATTGAAAAAATATGTAAGCATGTGCAACGTACTTACCATTACGTAAATGATAAGAGTTTAATATGTAAACATGTGCAACGTAGTTATCATTACGGACACAACCACCAGTGTCCCCTCAACATGTCGATATTGCATCTAGATGTTCATGTCAACATTAATTAAAAGTGGTATTAACTGGAGAGTACCTAATACCTACAATTACGTTACAAGAGAAACGTATAATTAGGATATAAAATAGAAAAATAAGATGAATAATGGATAAAATATCAAAAGGGTTGAAAAAAATAAATCAACAAAGTATAAAGTCTAAACCAAAAATTATAATAAGGGTGAAAATTAAAATTTTAATTACATTGTTTTGGGTGTAGTTTTGTTTTTTTTAGTATAGAAGGTTATGATGAAAAAGGGTATAAATAGAATTAGAAGGGTACTTGCATAATGTAGCAAGATATATATCAGATTTAATGTTATATTTTATTATTTGTTTCTGTCGAT